AGGACCCCTGCTCTATGGAGTTCAAAGGCAAGTGAGTGGGTTTACACAGGGTTCACTATTTCATGCCACTGCATGTGTCCTTAAAACAAATTGTTCCAAGCTCCCCCAAATACATATTATCTTCTAATTTTTATAATTCTTTTTATAGTTAATTTTTAGTCCACCTAGAATTTCTTTTGGTGAATGGTATGCTAAGAATCAGCTTAATTTTCTCCATTTATACTAGCAATTTTCATTAAATACTCCATCACAGCCAAAATGATTTCAAAAAGTACCTTTAACAAACTCTAAATTCTTAAAAGCACTTGTTTTTATTTTTTAAACTATTTTCCATTAACTTCTCTATGTGTGTATCAGTGTAACTATTTTAACTGCTTTTTTTTTTTTAAAGTGATGTATGGTGGCACCTATAGCTCAGTGGGTAGGGCGCCGGCCATACACCCAGGCTGCTGGATTCGAACCCAGCCCAGGCCTCCTAAAACAACAATGGCAACAACAACAACAACAACAAATAGCCAGGCATTGTGGTGGGTGCCTGTAGTCCCAGCTAGATGGGAGGCTGAGGCAAGAGAATCGCTTAAGCCTAAGAGTTTGAGGTTGCTGTGAGCTGTGAGCACTCTACCCAAGGCGACAGCTTGAGACTGTCTCAAAAAAAGAGTGCTGTATATTTTGGTACATTAAGTGCCTTCTACTTTTTGCTCTTTCAATAAAGATTCTATTCTTACCTGTCTGTACTTAATATATTTTTAAAAATATATTAAAAATAAATGCTGTTTGATATTTGGATTGGCTTTGCACTAAATTTACATATTAATTCAAAAAGAACTGATGTGTCTTCCACAGTCCAAATGTTCTTCCTACCAAGTGCTTACAAGCCCCTCTGCCCGTTTCTTCCCACTCCACACCCCAAAGGACACCAAGATCAGGGAAGTTGTGTTACTAATTCTTTGTTTATGGTTTTACTACACGTGGTGCATCCCTAACCAACACACTTAGTTGTTTGTTTGTGAACTTTATATAAAGGACTGGCTCCATTCTTCTGGTTTGCTTCTTTCACTTGATGTGTTTTCTGAGATGCACCCATGTTGACCATGGCAGTATGATGCCCTTACCAACCACAGAATTCCCCAGCACAAACATACCTGATTTATCAAGTGTACAGCAGATGGGCGTCTGGCTCCCTCTTTCCTTCTTTGTGGTTATTATAGGTAATGCTGTACTCGTGCCTACGAATTCCAAATATAGTGGGCTACAAAAGACACTTGTGTTCAACTCTGCTAACACTGTTCGCCAGAACTGTGGTACTAATTTATACGCGGATGAAGCTTCCTATTGGCATAGAACTTTTTATAATTTTTGTAAATTTGGTGGCTAGGAAATATTTATGGTTTTAATGTGCATTTCCTGTGTCCTAATAAGGCTGCCCATCTTCACGTTTCTTCTATGAAATGCCTGCCTGTGTTTCACATTCATCTCTCTCAGGTTATTACTGATCTGCAATCAGGTGCTCACAACGGTAATGAAGTTGTGCATATGTTGTGAATACCTGTATCTTATTCCAAATTGGCCTCATTTTTTCATTCTATGGCACATTTGGTAAGCAAAAATACTTACTATAATGTAGCTGAATTAATTGATGGGTTGTGTGTTTTTTTTTTCTTTAAAGATATGCGGGTCTTGCTTTGTTACCCAGGCCAGAGTGCAGCGGCACAATCCACAGCTCACTACAGCACCAAACTTTTGGCCCCGATACTCCCACCCCCGCCTTCCAAATAGCTGATCTACAGAGTGCCACCCCACCCAGCTAATGATTTTCATTTTTGTTTTAAAGAGATGTGGATCTCACTATGCTGTAGGTTGGTCTTGAACTCCTGGCCTCAAATGATCCTACCACCTCAGTTCCTAAGTAGCCGCCACACCCAGACGATCTGCATTTTCTATATCTTGTTTATGAAATCCTTCCATTCCCCAAAGCCATTGTTTTAATCACTGTGTTTTTTACTGAGTTTTATAATCCCATAATGCCAGTTCTCCTCACACTCCATTCAAGAATGTCTTGGGTATTCTTGGCCCTTTGCTCTTCCATTTATATTTTAGGATCAGTTCATCAAGTTTCATAATGAAAACTATTGGGGTTTTTATTAGAATTGCACTGAATCTATTAACCAATTTGAAAAAGAGTTGAGTTCTAGATAATATGGGGTCTTCTTAGTCATCACATTCCTCCATTTATTAAGGTCCATAAAGTTTTCATTCTAAAAAAAATGTTTTCTCATTAAGAGCTACGTACTTTTTAATTAATATTTATTCTTATTTTGTGTAACTTATTCCTACTATAAATTGTATTTCTTAATTATACTTAAAAATTTTTAAACCCATTACTGCTTGTAGCTACTACATAAAGAGATAAACTGACATGTGCATACTGATTTTGTCCCAGCAACCTTGATAAATTCTTAAGTCTTCTAATTTGCCTTGTAGACTCTTTGAATTTGCATAGACAATCTGGTCCCACAACTTTAATCCATTAATATATGAGTCACGATGATCTATTTTCTAATATTAATCCAATCTTGTTATTCCTTAGATAAATCCAATGTGGTCAACATTTGTTATACTTAAAATAGCATAGTTGTTAGTTTTGGTGTACAAAAAATGCTTATTTTCCTACTGAAAGGTATATATAGAGGTGTATAAAGGTACACCTGACCTTTGAAAAACATGGTTTGAACTTTGCAGGTCCACTTACATGCAGATTTTTCTCAATAAATACAGTCGGCCTTCTACATCTTTGGGTTCTGCTTCTATAATCAAAGGTAGATCAATAATATAGTATTCACATGATGTGAAACCCATGTATATAAAGGGTTGAGTGTGGGACTTGAATATGGGTGGACCTTAGTGTCTGGGGGCAGTGGTCCTGGAACTAATCCCCTGAGGATGCAGATGGACTGTATATCCATCAGATTAAATTCACTGACTAGACTATTTAAATCTATGTCCTCAATAATCTTAATAATTTGGTCTTCTATGCCCACTGTATTGGTGGATAGATCTACTTCTCCTTGTAGTTGTGTCCAATTTTTCTTTATATATTTTGAGGACTATTACTAGACACTTAGGTGCATTATTAGAAAGTTTAGAACTGTTATACCTTATTGGCTCTCTACCACTAATAATTTAAGGAGGGTTTATTTATTAATATGGGAAAATAGTTTCAAAAAAATAACCTACCCAAGAACTCAGTTAAGCCAAGATAAATATTTGCTCTCAGATTCTATGATATTCTTTCCACTACCACATTTTTGAAATTCAAATTGTTTTAGAATTTTAGATTAGGAGAAATAAGCCAATAGGAGAAATAAATTAAATACATATAAGCAAGGTGGTGCCGGTAGTTCAGTGCGTAGGGCGCCAGCCACATACACTGAGGCTGGCAGTTCGAACCCGGCGAGGGCCTGCTAAAACAACAATGACAACAACAACAAAAATAGCCAGGCATTGTGGTGGATGCCTGTAGTCCCAGCTACTTGGGAGGCTGAGGCAAGGGAATCGCTTAAGCCCAAGAATTTGAGGTGGCTGTGAGCTGTGACACCACAGAACTCTACCCAAGGTGACAGCTTGAGACTCTGTCTCAAAAACAAAAAATATATATATGTAAACACAGAACTGGTTCTAATAGAAAAGTTTTATACTCAGTTAAAAAAAATCTGTTGAAAAAAGGGAGAGGGTTTAAATAGCACCCTACTTGACTGGGGAGTTAGAGGAGAGTGAAACCTGACAGGGAAACTGTCAGGTGACTTAAATGTGAAGAAAAAGAAAAGATAAAGTCACTGAATTTTACTATGTGCAGTAACCAAAAAGTAGATAACATTATGACAGAGCTAAGGTTAAAAAAAAAGGGGGGGGGGCGAGAATCGGTATCCTGACAACATTGTAAGAAAGGAACTCTTCTAAAAAGACAGCAAGAGAAACTAAAATCATAGTTACAAAAAACCTAGGGGATACTAATTTCACAGCAAGAAAACACATGATTATAGACAAAGCATGGTACAATAAATGCAAAACACTCCCCCCAAAATCTGAAAGTTTTCGTTGAAAAGGCCACAAAAGAAACTATGCCAGTGCTAGACAAAAAGAAAAACTATTAATACATATACATCAATATATGTATATGTACTATATATGTATACAGAATATGTAACATGTATATATGTATATGTGTCTACATATATAGTAACACAGAGTTTTTCAGTGATACAGAGGTCAAGATCAACACTCACCCTGCAGGCTAATTAAATATGGCAACAGATGTGCTGGATTTGGTTATAATTTCAGAGGAATTATGAATATACTGTAAGCAAAATCAAATGTTCTGTACTTACTGTAAGGAAGTTTCAGGGAGCCATATATCAAGGCCAAGGGCATCTGTACAAGGTCTATATATAACATAACAAGGCCAAGGACATCTGTACAAGATTTATTTCATTAACCACAATATTTTAGAGTGATAACACATACCCTAATACAGAAAGAATGATTCAAAATCCACCAAGAGTTAAAGGTCAAGAGCCAAAGTCAGTGGCTTTATATCCTAGGTCAATAAGAGTTTCACCACCATTTGGGGTTTTTTGATTAATAAAAGAGTTGATGTACAGAACACCCTGTTCTGAGCTCACCATGACTTCTGACAAACAAGCACCACCAGGGGACTAGACTTCATTGCTTCATCCTTGCTCTGGCTGTGCTGGTAGGTGGCAAAAAAGCCTCTTGCCAGTCCTTGACCTCCAAATTATTCATAAGCATTCCTGTTTATTCCACAGCTCCCCACAACATCACATTTGAATAATTTCTCCTGAAGTGCATGGCTGTAATATTGACAAATAAGACTAATGAGAGAGCAAGTAAATTGCTATCTGTTTAACAAAACACACCCTTCTAAGAGAATATCCACAAGTCTTATTGCATTTGGTACATAGTCACAACATTGAAATGACATATGAGAATCAATACAAAATATTTATTTTTTTCCAAACCACAGACTTGTTAACCCCAGGGCCACACTATAAACTTCCCAGAATTGTAAGCCATTAACATTTCTCGAAACAATTCAGTCCAACCAGAAATGAAGATAATTTTCAACCAGCAGGGGTGCACTATATAGCAGGTTACTGTAAAAACAGATTTCTGATTAGCATTTTCTCTGATTCTCCCACAGCCACTCCATAAGCAGTAACAGTGTATGTGCTCAATCCACTCGGCTCTGAAGAGAGGTTCAAATTAGGATCTCCGCCAGTGGAGGAGAGGTGTCAGTGACAATTTCAGTTAATCAACCACAGAAACAAAAGAGGAATCATTTCACTTGGAAAAGAACAGGGCTCCTTTTATATATTCTAGGGGCCAGAAACTAGGGCGATTTCAACAGAGTAATGAAAAACAACAGGATAGTAATTTTTCCCTGAACTCCTACGACCTCCATTTTAACATCTGGTAAGTGAACTTCATCTTATACAGTCTTATTGAAAACAGTAATCACAACCAAAAAGGTCCTATGAACCTCTTATAGGTGTCACATCAAGGGACTGACATTCTGACCTTAAATTTTTAGGTCCCCTTAAGAGGCCCAGACTTGGATTAAAGTAAACATTATTCCAAGCTAAAAAGCCCAATGAGACAACATAAAAAGTCAACTCAAAACATCTGAACAATGGCTGGATAACTAATGTAGGTTTTTTTGTTTTGCTTTTTAGTTGTAAAGCTTTTCAATATCTCAGATTAGTGTATATTCATAAAACAATGCTCAGTTATTTTAATAATAGCTGCTTATTAAACAATTGAATTTTAGCTCAAGGGCAATACCTTTTGCATAATAATCACAGAAATAATTAACTACTATAAATCAGAAAAAAAATAGAAGAAAATATAGCCACCCTCTAAGAGAACAAAATCTGGAAGGGTTACTGTTTAAAGGGATTAAGGATTATTTAAATACTATGATACAAGTGTGCCTGCTCACTTTATAACTGCAGAAACCAATTTTGTTTGCTGGATCACCATTACCTTTGCTAGTACATGCCTGGACCACTACTTAGAACTTAGAAGTTCCTCTTAGAACTTAGTTAGAAGTTACTTTTGTTCTGAAAACCATTCAAATCCCTTGTTTGGTCAGTATAGCATACTGAGAGGTGATATGTGCAAACTCTTCCTGAGGAATTATTTATGTGTGCAAATTTGCAACCCAACAGAAAGCATGGCAGATAGCAAGGGAGTGGCAGCTGTACGGGTCTAGCACTGGAAGACATATGTACAGTGCTCATGGCCATGGGCATCTATTCTGCAATCTCATCTACCCACAAATTAGCTTTCATCCTAGACCTCCTAAAAAGGCAAGTTAACTGCTGCAAACTTACAAACGGGGAAGGAAAAAAAGTAACTCTGCCACAAAATTTAACAATGCACAACTTGTGCGTTCAGGTTTTCTTCTTAACTGTGCCTAAGAACTGTATCAGGCTAAGAGTCACAACATTAGGTTTTGCTTTCTGCCCTAAAGAAAATGGAACAGTGATTCATGTTTGGTTAGGGTACAGCTGTGATAACAGAGGTCATGAGATGACACCATTACTGAAGCTTAATGCCGACCCTTAAAATACATACCGTCTTTCAAAACAATTACCTTCTATTTACTATTACACACCATTATTTCAAGGTGTCTAACTTGGCTTTATTTCTTAAGGGTCTGGTTTCAAGCTGCACATACATACTTAGTTTAGCCAATCAACTGCATGTGTTGACTAACTTGATAATGAATCTACATGTACCATTTTCTGTCTTTAATGGTTTGGGCCTTCAATGATTTGGTGCTAAAGCTAGGATTTCACCGGGTAGAAAAACTATACTGTACTGGCAAGCATATAAGAAAACACAAGAAGAAAATACTTTCTGGCAAATAATTTTTAGTCAATACAAAATGGCAGGGGATGGGGGTGGAAAATTTTATTTCTTTTCACGATGCAAACTAAGAATTCTGTCAATAATCCCCAAAAAAGGCGAGTCAATTTCAAGAAATAGGTTCTTCATACTGCAATGTACCTCAGAGGGGCTCAAGATGATGAGTAACAACACCCAGGGCCACGTGTACGCCCTTTCTAGAGTGCCTTCCAACCATGGATTTGTAGTACCAAGCCCTGATCACTGTGCAAAAATTTAGAGAAATTAAATTTTGCAAATTTTACTTTGCCAACTTTTTGTTAATATATACACAATAAAAGGATATAAAATATTTCTCCATTAACTTAATGCAAAAGCATCTAAGGATTTTAATGCCAAGTCACATCATTAATGCAATGCTTTTGAAGGGAAGATTCTTCTGTTGGTCAAAAATGAATGTTCTTTCCCACAAAAAGCACTTGGGTGTATTATTAGGATCCCAAAGAATTCACCTACATTTAAAGAAATGTTTCTGGCAGAATTATTATTAAAACCACTCAAGAAAGATTTCTGTTCCAGGTGCTAATTATACAGGTGCTAATTATAAGCCTGCAGTAAGCATTCCATTGAAAAAAGTAAAATCAGATCATCATGATAAAATGGAACTCTTCCTTGATAACAGAAATGTTAATGGTGTATCACATTTAACTGTACAGGTCATAGGGAGAGCCAGTATAAAGTCTTACAGTAATTGTGTTCATCAATGCAATCCAAGATGCTTACAGAGTTAAATGAGTCCAATTAAAGTCCTCCACAAAATCCACCAACTCTGGTCAATGAGTATTTAAAAAATAAATTTGACAACCTTGACTTTTACTTCTCTGCATAATGATTTTACAGATCAAGAACTTCTAACATTAGATAACTGACTGCTCCCAACATCCCACTTCAAACTCTCCCACCCACCCCTCTTCCCCAAAATGGCAAACTTATCTGACAGAGGAACCTATATGAAAAACATTCAAATCATAAGTGTTACAGTGTCCCTGGCATATCTTCCTTTTTCCGCTCAAGTTCACTGAAGAGGTAAATACTATTAGTGTGACACAGCCCAATAGAGTGAAGCATATGGCTCAATTTAGATTCAGCAAAATTCAGAAGAAAAAAGTATTTTTCTGTTGCCACATCTTTCTATTGTTGTCTTTCAAAACCAGCTGGAATAAGCTTCAGAGACTATTATGAAGAACTAAATAAACAGCACTGCGGGTAGGGAGGAATAAAATACAGCTTTGCCACAGCTGGAGGGAGCCTTAAAACAGCAGTGCTACTTCTTCATGACATTCGAATATGTTTAAAAGATGCAGACTGCAGACTTTTTAAGAGCAATTACCTCACTCATTTAAAATGAAATGGATCAAGAACCCCATACATTGATTATATTTGGATTTAGTAACTATCTGCTTCCTAGAGCATCACAGGAAGCAGCCTCTCAACAACATTCAAAGGGGCACTTTAGTGCTAACGTACTGCCCACCCCTAAACTAGATTATTGCCAATATTCTGCAGCTGGGGAAGCCTGTTACGTGACAGAGGAAATGGAAATGCTCTACAAGAGTTGGTCCCCAACATTAATACAAACACACTCTGTCAAAGCAAGGGCAAATATGACGAACCTGCAACAGGTTTCTATTTTCCCACTTACTTAGCATCCTGCTACAAAGTCACACCTGCCATCTTTGCGGGTTAATTTGGAACACCAAAAACTTCTCCAGGAGGCATTTGTGAGTTTGACAACATGGTTACACAGTTGCAAAGTGCACAAAGCTCAAGGCACAGAGGAGAAAAAGTTGTGAACTGATGGGACATTCCAGTAAAAGCGGAGTTAGCATTTAAGGTTTCTAATGCCAAACAAAGACCAACTCTTTTAAAGGGGGATGTTTTGATTATGGGTGACAAATACTGTATTGTAATGATCTGCTTGATTTTAAAGCAAAAGATACCTTTGACATGTGAAACCGATACACAGAAATGCCAAGTCCACAATTAACAAAACAAGTGCTTCAAAAAAAAAAAAGATGCTTCTGCTTTTATATTTTTGGAGGAAGCTGCTGATTTTGGCTGTCGGATTTCACTTAGCAATGGTCACTTTCTAAGATGCGTGCTCCTCATAGAATCTATACATAAATGCATTAGAAGATTGTCCCATTTCAAAATCACCCCAAGTCTAGCAGCAACTGTTTTTATGTTTTTGTTTTTTGTTAATTTTTTGTTTTGTAAAATTACAAACCAAAGTAAGAAGTCCAACATCCTCTTCTAAGAACAGCTTTGTGACAGAGCTCCTGAGTGTCTGCAGGCCCCAGCTGTGCTCTGAAAAGTCTCTGCAGTTCCAGTGTGTCCTCTTTTCAGGAAAGCACTTCCAATACATTCACTATCTGTACCCCCTGGAACTTGCACATGCGGACGAGCTGTCTGAAAAAATGTCAGAACAATAAACAGTATGAATTGCAGACAACATTTGATAATGGCAGGAATCTATTTACTCAACACACATTTCTCACACCTTTCCCAATCCCTTAAAACCATGTGGCTTGGCAGGAAGTGCAAAGGGGCGGGGATTATCATCATATTATCCTAGTAGAGACTAAAGAATTTGGTGGCTTCATGATAGCTGCCTGAGAACCACCACCAACTGGACTTCAGAGCTGCCACAGCTTGCAGAACAGCCTGACCACGATCAGACACCATCAAGAACATTGTGGATACGATCACATTTACTGCAATTACCACCACGAGCTGCCTTCCATCATAAAACCATCAAAATGGGAAGTAACATTATTACTTACTATAAGCCAACTCATCCCCAGCTCTCTTCCGGGACTGGTCACCTCTGGGGATAAGAAAAGACAATGCAGTCAACAGTATTGACTTCACATACAAAACAGGAGAACCAAATTGACATATGTGATAATGGAAACACTGCAGATGCTTCAGTTGCTTCAGTTCTAACCCACAAAGCTACCTTATAATAGACATTAAACTTAAACTGCATCATTTATAACCTGAATATTCTTAGCTAAAGGGAGCTGTCTTTTTAATAAAGGATCATCTGTAAAGATGGTTTACACTGAGTTCTAGAAACAAGTTCAAACTAAAATATGCCTTTGAAGATAAACCCGGGTTCTACTGTCAACAACCTTACCTGCATATATTAAAGACAATTTCAAATATAAAATAGAGACGATAACTAAAAATCTTTCCCTAAACTCCCTATTTTGAAACCAAAAACTGCTTAAGCCTCTGGAAAAAAAAATCTCACAATCTTAATGTATCTTAATTTTCTTTTTTGCAGGTGGAAAACATGAACCTTGACTTATTTAAACAGCTGATCCTCAAATACACACAAAAGTTCCACGTCCACTTTTGAGTTAAGATAATAGAAGCTGTAAGTAAGTTCTAGGCTACCTATCAATCCTGTTTCTGTCTCTCCAGCTTCTCAGATAATAATCCAGACAAATGACTAAAATGCTTAAGAAATGAGTAATAATAACTAGCTTTTTCTTCTTCAGTCTCTTGGCAGAATTTTTACAGTTGATCTCTTCCTTCCTGAAAACATTTTTCCCATGGGGCTTCACACACTCCCAATCTTCCTTCCACCCTCCCTTTCCAGTTTCCTCTGTTGGCTCTGACCCAGTCTGTCCCTGGCCACCTTTTCTTCTCCATGGACATTCTTCTTAGTTTAGGATGGTGAGCACACCAACTCTGTAGTTTTGCTTACTTTGGACATGCCAGAGTCTCCCAGATTTCTATGCCCAGCTCTAATTTCCTGCTCACACTCCAGATCTGTAGGTCCCACTACCTTGTCCCCATGTCCACTGGATGACTAGACATACTGCCAGTTTACCACAGCCGGAATCCCCCCGTCCTCAGTCTTCCATCTTGATGAACAGCACTCCCATCCACCCAATCACCTGGGCCAAAGTCCTCCTCCCCCATCATCTTTTTTTAATTAAATCATAGTGTACATTAATACTATCATGGGGTACAGTTGTACTGTTTCTGTATACAATGTGAAATACTTTCATCCAACTGGTTAACACAGCCTTCATGTCTTTTTCTTAGTTATTGTGTTAAGACATTTATATTCTACATTTAGAGAGATTCACATGTACCCTATGGGACGAACCATAGGCGTGATCCCACCAATCACTCTTCCTCCACCCACCCCACCCAATCACCTGGGCCAAAGTCCTCCCCTCCCCCATCATCCTTGATTTCCTCTTTCCCTTCACTGTGGAGGATACTGACCTAAAACATTATCCAAAATCATCCACTCCTCACCAACTCCACTGCTACAATCCCAATCCAACCACTATCTTCTCTTCTCCATACAACTGCATGAGCCCTATTATTAGTCTAGACCAGCGGTTCCCAACCTGTGGGTCATGACCCACAGGAACTATAATAAAGGGTCATGGCATTAGGAAGGTTGAGAACCACTGGTCTAGACAAAAGCCAAGCCATAAGAAAGATTAGTTTCACAGTGGCTTCCCATTACAGATAAAATCAATTCTACTCCATTTTCCCAGCCCAGTGACATGTCTCCTGCCTACCTCTCCAATCTCATCTTCTGTCTCTGCTCACTATGCTTCAGCCACCTGGCTCTCTGTCCTTTGGAACTGGTCAGCACTTTTGCACTTACTACCTCCTCTGTCTGCAACACTCTCCCCACCCCCGGCAACTACACACCGTCTCCTCACTGTCTATGCCCTGGCTGGACTTCACCTCCTCGGAAGGCATTACCTTATCACACTGGTCACTAACTCTCCATCCCATTCTGTTTGATTTTCCTCATACCACTTATTACTTTTTTTTTTTTTTTTACATATAATTGTCTGTCTTCCAACATAATTTAGAGCCTAAGTTCCACAAAAACAAGAACTGTCCCTGTCTTGTCCAACCCAGTGCCCAGAGTAGTGTCCAGTACAGACACAATAAATACTGGCTGAATTAATAAATCAGTGAATAATGCGCAGATAGTCTCGAAGACAGATTAGAATGCTCGACCAGACAATTACTTCCTGCTTTCCAATAATCTTCTCCCTTTCTTTCTCTGGTTATGTGCAGGATTAGGGCAGAAACCTCTTGCCAAGCCGGATGAAGAAACCTGAAGAGCGGCAGAAGGAGAGTGTTACATGACCTCTGGAGTGCTTTTCTTTAGGCAGAACATTTAGCCTGCACCAGCCTTAGACAGACTAAAGAGCTCCAAACTGACTGGCCCTCATGCCACTTTTCTAACACCTCTGCAGTTAACACTACACATAGCCAAAGCCAACTGAGCATCTTATGTTGTTATTTATACCAGTGTCACCAAGTATTCTAAAACAAATTGAATTAATGATCAACTTTTAGACACAGCCTTCATTCCTGCCCCACTCAGGTTAAAAAAAAAAGTGAACATGGAAAAAATTGCAGATGTGAAAACAACAGAAGGCAGGAAGAAAGAATATAAATGTGACATACAAAAGTGGCTGCTGAAGACGTTATCTAATTCCACAAATCTGGAAAGTGTCTCAAAACTAGACTAATTATTAAATGAAAAAGCGCCAACATGGGGCAAACCTCTGAGCTAAAAGACACAGATTCTTCTTACTTAAGTCACCTATATCTAGTGAACGTTTTCCATAGTGTAATCCCTGACATCAGACACCAAACTGCTGCCCCTCCTCAGTCAATTCAACTATGTGGCCAGAGATAAAAACATACCTTCTATGTCAATTCTAGCTTAAAGTATGTCTACCCTATATTTCCATGCACCTAAATATTGTTTCACAAAATTTCTAGCTCAGATGAGAATCTGTCCACTAACTGCAAAAGAGGACTTTGATACCACTTACATATGATTTCAAAGACTTACTCTGTACCATCCACATTAAAGCTGGGTGCTGCCTATTCAGGACCCCCACATCATGGAAGCAGAACATCATCACCTTACATGAGAAACTTGTTTGCTAAAACATAAAATGACTGCTCCTATCAGAAGAGCCAGTAACAAAATTCTTGTTAGATAGCCTATACTACATTCTCAACTTTTTTTCATCCCTAGACACTATTTTGTCCAAAACAATGCAAGCCAAATAATGATCAAAGAAGACATTAAGTTTGAAAGGGCAGAATGCAAAAGATGCATGCAAAAGAGCAGAGACAACTTTTCCATCAGCTGCTGAGTATGGTGTCTGCACATCCTTTCTGGACTGTGTGAATAGCTCAGAAGTGGGTATGAGAAGGTCAGCTGTGGCAGGGTCCACTCTGTGCAAAGTACCTGTCAGAATAATTTATGGGGCAAACTGTAATCCTCATAGTAAATATATAATGTTTATATTATATATAAATATGAAATATATGTAATGATAATAAAGTTTTAATTTAATTATAAAATCGTCCAATTACGTTTGTAAAATAAAACATTTTAATTTTATCACCTCTTGGAATACTGTCTGACATTTAAATCTCAGTCAGAAATTGTACAAAAGAGGCTTGGCACCTGTAGCCCAGTGGTTAGGGCACTGGCCACATACACTGAGGCCAGTGGGCTTGAACCTGGCCTGGGCCTGCTAAACGATGACAAATGCAACAACAACAAAAAAAAGCGGGGCATTGTGGCAGGTGCCTGTAGTCCCAACTACTTGGGAGGCTGAGGCAAGAGAATCACTTAAGCCCAAGAGTTTGAGGTTGCTGTGAGCAGTGACACCACAGCACTCTACCGACGGTGACATGATAAGACTGTCTCAAAAAAAAAAAAAAAAAGGTCATATGAAAGAATTACACTTTATACCAAAAATCCAAGGCACTTCGTTAAATGTAACCAATGTGGCCTTGGCTGAACAGTGCAAATGTAATGCTACCTGAGGTTATATAAGGACTCAACTACTCATCTCATCCCAAGCAAATCTGACATTAAGAGCTACTACACACCCAGCAGTCCTCCACCTTTTTCTCTTATTCCAGTTCCAAAATCAGGATTAGGGAAATGTCTCACGGCATGTTTAAACAGCCCCATACACTGTTCTGGAAAGAAAATGCAAAGTGCTTGAGAAATCCACAAGTGCCACACTCCTACACTGCTTCACACAAAGAAGCTTTCAGGGGCTGCTGCTGCTTTTTTTTTTTTTAAGACATTAATAAGCTTATCTCCCCAAATAAAAGCAAATTATTAAATAAAACATGAATGAAAGTCAAAAGTGAAAGGCAGCTATAATAAAAAAAACCCATGAATGAAAGCATAAGATTTTAAACTATGGTGAGCTTAGAAAAACCAAAGTTATATTCAGATTTTGCATGTATTAAAAATATTGAAGGAAAACTATTTAACTATTAATTCAAAATACATAAGCTACATAAACAAACCTCTTGAAATCTACACTTTTTAATTAAAATCGTTTTGACTTCTGAACCATATAAATATACTAAGTAGTCTTCAAAAATGAGTAAGTAAAATTAGTATGGCATTAAATGGCCTCATTCTGCACGTGAAAATATTTCTGCGAGAAATACTACAATTAATGTCAGAAATATTACAGTTAATATATGTGACCCCTCTACATGCAGGAGAAAAACTAGCTATTGACACGCTGGCATTTCCCAGTGGCCCTTCCTTTCCCAGTCACAGTACACCAGTCTACCAGGCCTCACTGAGCCCTTCCTGTGTAAGCTGCCGGTGATTACCCAGCGCTCCCACTACTACACAAATTAATACAGGACACAAAAAGGGAATAAATGCCAATCTATGAACCAACAAGCGACAAGTGACCTGATTTCTTCCCTAATCTGTGCTGAAACTGGAGACTTAGTAACAATGACTACAGCCAAGACCAGTCAAGGTTTTCTGAAATTCAGTTTGCCTATTTATCTTTGAAAGATAAATATCCAGCTTTTCTGCCTATGGACACTGCTGAGGAAGCATCATTAAAGTCTCTCTTCCCACTGCTGTCATGTCTAAGTCAGAGTCTCCTAAAGAGCCCGAACAGTTGCAGAAGCTCTTCATTGGAGGGTTGAGCTTTCAAACAACTGGTGAGAGTCTGAGAAGCCATTTTGAGCAATGGGGACCGCTCAGACTTGCATGGTAATGAGAGATCCAAACACCAAGTGCTCCAGGGGCTTTGGGTTTGTCACATACGCAACCATGGAGGAGGTGGATGCAGCAATGAATGCAAGGCCAAAGTAGATGGAAGAGTTGTGGAACCAAAGAGAGCTGTTTCCAGAGAAGATTCACAAAGACCTGGTACCCACTTAACTGTGAAAAAGATCTTCATTGGTGGCATTAAAGAAGATACTGAAGAACATCACTTAAGAGACTATTTTGAACAGTATGGGGAAATGAAGTGATTGAAATCATGACTGACCGAGGCAGTGGCAAGAAGAGGGGCTTTGCTTTTGTTACATATGATGACCATGATTCTGGGGATAAGACTGTCATTCAGAAATATCATACTGTGAATGGCCACAACTGTGAAGTAAGGAAAGCCCTGTCAAAGCAAGAGATGGCTAGTGCTTCGTCCAGTCAAAGAGGTTGAAATGGTTCTGGAAACTTTGGTGGGGGTTGTGGAGGTGGTTTCGGTGGAAATGACAATTTTGGCGGTGAAAGAAACTTCAGTGATCGCGGCGGCTTTGGTGGCAGCCGTGGTCGTGGTCGGTATGGTGGCAGTGGGGATGGCCACAATGGATTTGGTAATCATAGAAGCAATTTTGGAGGTGGTGGAAGTTCTGATTTAACAGAATTTAATGATTTACAACAGTCAGTCACCAAATTTTGGACCCATAAAGGGAGGAGATTTTGGAGGCAGAAGCTCTCGCCCTTATGGTGGTCGCAGCCAATACTTTGCCAAACCACAAAACCAAAGTGGCTATGGTGGTTCCAGTAGCAGCAGGAGCTATGGCAGTGGCATAGGAAAGAAAGCTTAGCAGGAGAGGAGAGCCAGAAAAATGACAGGGAAGCTACAGGTTACAAGAGATTTGTTAACTCAGCCAAGCACAGTGGTAGCAGGGCCTAGCTGCTACAAAGAAGGCATGTTTTAGACAATACTCATGTGTTTGGGCGAAAAACTCCAGGACTGTATTTGTGACTAATTGTATAACAGGTTATTTTAGTTTCTGTTCTATGGAAAGTGTAAAACATTTCCAACAAAGTGCTTTAATGTAGTTTTTTATTTTTTGCACTCATGCTGTTGATTGCTAAATGTTAACAGTCTGATCATGACACTGAATAAATGTCTTTTTAAAAAAGAAAGGAAGATAAATATCCACCCCCTGTCCTAGCCAGATAAGTCAATACACAACCTATTACTTATAGACACAACTATGCATAAAAAATCCCAGGCATATTCCTTTTCACAACTTTTCTCCTGAATGCCAGTAATCCAAATAACAAAAGACATGTGAAAATGCTAAGAGTATACAGATTATGAAAATGTAGGGTATTACTGAAATACTTGGTAATGGAACAGGGTGTTTTCCCATGGGGAATCATAAAAATTTTATATTAATGCATTGTAGTTGAAGAATATATTCTGCAAGATTTTCTGGGGTACCACGATGAGTTACAAAAAATTTAGAAAAACTAGCAAAGTATACAGGTAGTATATCAAAACCAAGGGAGGCAAATTTTCTAGACATGTAATCAAATACTCAAATTTAAGGGAAAAAACTAGAATTTAGAGCAAAAATGAAAATACTAAATACAAAATTTGAAGTTTCTTTGCCAGTCACAATAGTTCCTTACAACATCATAAAATTTCTACATTGTTTTCCATGTGCTCTGGACTAATAGAAGAAAATCCAACTTGGAAGAGCTCTTGGAGGTTGCCCAACTAACTGCCCACCCCAAACATCCCTTCTTCAAAATGCATGCAATCAAGAACAACTTCCACAAAATCAAAACTCAGCTTATTTCTACAGATAAGGAGCTGACCACTTCTTGCAACAGCACCAGTACCTTTGACTCTTGGACAGTTATTTCTCATTCTAAGAACCTTAACATCTCTTCCAGGCCAAGCCAAAATGGCCTAGGGAAATGTTGGGGGGCGGGGGGGCGGGCACTTGCCTCGTAAAACCATTCTGTATAAGTTCTCTTTGAAGTTTCTGATCTTGAGCAGCATATTCAGAAAGTTCAGATTCCATGGCCGGAGGGAGAATGTTTGGAATAAATTTAGAAAATAAATTTGGAGCCATCTGAACCCACTCTGTGAGGGAAGGAAAAGACTCATTAAGAAAATCATATGGACAAATTATATTAAATGCAAAAGGGAAAGTTTTATTTTATTCAAAGAGTAAAATTATATTAAACTGGGGAACATAAAATGGAAAAACTTAAGGTTAATCCATGCTAGTAAAGAACACACAAAAAAGTGAAATTTCCTTTCCAAAAAGAATTTACAGATTGAAGAAAGCAGATATTTTTGTGTTTTACTGATTTAATAGAATTTAATTAAAATCCCTAGGGAATTTTAAAATTATTCTTATCATAATAGCAAATTCTTCTCTTTTTTTTAAGACAGAGTCTCACTATATTGCTGCCCCCAGCGTAGCGCCATGGCATCACAGCTCACAGCAACCTCAAACTCCTGGGCTTAAGCAATTCTCTTGCCTCAGCCTCCCAAGTAGCTGGAACTACAGGCGCCCGGGTATTTTTTGTTGCAGCTGTCCTTGTTGTTTAGCTGATCCAGGCCAGGTTCGAACCTGCCAGCCTCAGTGTACGTGGCTGGCACCATAACTGCTGTGCTACCAGTGCCAAGCCTATAATAGAAAATTCTAAATATGGAGGAAAAGATGAATGAGATTACCAAAGAATTCTGGGTAGAAGCGAACTTGTGGGGAAGGGGCTTGGTGGAAATGTCAACCCTATTAGCCATTCATTTAAACAACATACTGGCCTCAGAACAGAAAAGCAGAGGTAATGATAGATAAGTAAGCATACTGAGAAAAAAAAGAGAGAGAGATAAAGAGTCAACACAAAAAGAGGGTGAAGGTAGGGAATAAACTGGCCAGTACTTTGAAAACAAAAATCTTTTTTGAACCATGTTAAATTACAGCAAATTAAATATATATAAAGTAAAAGAGACTTAAGTGGTAATCAAATTATTAAGAAAAGATCAAGGCTCGGCGCCTATAGCTCAACCGGCTAAGGCGCCAGCCACGTACACCTAAGGTGG